GGTCTCGGTTGCCAGCTCAGAGCACCCAGGGCAGGGCCGGTGCAGCATTTGGTCTGGGGATTGAACCTTGCCTAAGCAGGGACTTAGTCTGCTGAGCTATCTTGCCAGCCCTTTGACAGTCACTTTTTAACTCATTTAACACAGGCAGCAATATTCAGCTAGAATTTAACTTAGCTGTTTTAATTCATTTGCATAGCATCTTAGTTTTCTACTGTTGCTGTCACAGATGACCTCAGGGCAGGAGTTGAAAGCCTCCTATTTATTCTCCCTAGGTCAGGGGTCTGGCGGAGGGTCTCATTTGGCCTTTAACCAAGGTGATCAGTGACCTGGAAGTTGAATCTGGCCTCGGTGTGCTGGCCGAGTTTCGGGCAGAGCGCACCTTCTGGATCACTCAGGTTTGGAGGCTCCTGGCTTGGCCCAGGCTCAGAATCCCTGCCTCTATCTCTGTGATATCTCAAGATGTAATGTTGGATTTTTGTCCTGGTTCTTGGCTGTAAATGACCAAGACAGTAAGGCTTTGACCTTTTGGTCCTGGGGCCTGAGGCAGCGATGGAACAACTTGAGGGGTATGAAGGTGAGGGCATCTGGGTCAGTACCGGGATTGGAGTCAAAGTCAGTCAGTCAGTCAGTCAGTCAGTCAGTCAGTCAGTCAGTCAGTCCGTCCGTCTGTCTGTCCATCCGTCTGTCTGTCTGTCTGTCTGTCTGTCTGTCTGTCTCCCTCTCCTTTTACTTGTCTTTTACCTACTCCTTTTTCTCTCCAAACCAGACCTCAGTAGAAGCTTGAATTCCTCTACCCTGAGGTGGGCCCTGGAAGCTAAAAGGTCCCCCTAATCTCCCTGCATCTGTCTGCCTTGGGGCAGCTGTAAAAGCTGTCTTACTTTTTATTTTTCTCTTCTTTTTCTCAATGGCCTTTGGGTTGCCATGAGTGAAGTTAGTCTTACGTAAATGATTGTCACTATGTAGTCAAAACACAAATAGCGGGGGCTGGGGAGATGGCTCAGTGGAATAAGTGTTTCCCTGGCAAGCGCAAGGGCCTGAGTTCAATCCCTGGTTCCACAAAAACAAAAAACAAAAAACAAAAACAAAACAAAACAAAAAAAAAAAAACAAACCCACAAGTAGCTCAGCAGATTAAAGCACCTGCAAGCAGGAGTTCGATGCCCTGGCCTGCCGTGCCGGCCCCACCCCCAGGGGGCGCACTGAGACAGCAATTGAGACTGGGCGTGGTGGCGTGTACCTGCAATCCCAGGTCTTGAGAGGCTGTAAACAGGAGAATCACTACAAGTCCGATCTAGAAGTAAGACCCTGAAAACCTGTAGTCCCTTCCCTAAAATACAAAAATAAAGGGGCTGGTGAGATGGCTCAGTGGTCTAAAGCACCTACTTAGAACAAGCTTAGCAAAGCACAGGGACCGCGGTTCAATCCCCAGCACCACATGCC